GCCAATCTAACCCTCCCCTGGCGCAGCTTGGGGCCATTACCTCTCATCCTATCGCTTGTTACTCCTTACCTGGAAGTGAGATCCCCCAGGATGCTGCGGGAGAGAAGGGACAGAAATCAGACAAGGCAGAGGAGGGGAGGCGTTAGACTTTGCTTTGTAATAAGGTAGAAGATGATTTATAATAGGGGTGAAGGGCAGCGGTGATGGGGATGGAGGTGTGGGAGTCAGAGAGCAGCCCAGCACCCGGCCGCCCCACGGCCCGGGGGAGCAGGGCAGGGGCGAGGGGATCCGCGGCAGGAGTCCCTTCGTCATCTGCCCGGTGGTACAAGACCCCACAGCACGGTCCAAGGGGACGGTCCCCGCCGCCCGCGCCCACAGAGCCTCACCCTCCTCTGGACACCATCAGGTTGACCTTCACTTTGTAGGACACCAGGATGCCCAGCACCTCCTTGTCCATGCCGGGTCTCAGGCTAGGAGAAAGGCAGAGCAGAGCGGTGAGGCGGGCAGTGCTGCTCGCAGACCCCGTCCGCTCCCCCCACAGCAGCTCCCGGGGCTGTCTCCATGCCCCATTTTGTGTGGGGTGCCCTGGGGTGTAGCAGGAGAGGACAACACAGCGCGGCAGTACAAGAGAGGGGAGGGCAGGTCGCTTGGCTGAAGCCACAGCGCTGTTTCTGGAAGCCATTTGAGCTGCCTGAGCTGGGATTTACTCCTGAGACGAGACCCGAGGCAGCTCTGTGGAGGGATACAGGGGCTTTGGACGATGGTTGGGACTGGGAGGCTACATCTCCTATGAGATGGGAGGTGGCTCTGTGGCTGTCTCACAAAATCCCTGCATTTTCCAGCTGGATGGGGTGGGCACAGGAGGTGTGGGGGACCCTTGGTGGGAGCCCAGAGCACCCTGAGCAGCGGGAAGCTGTCGGAGAGGGGGGAAGGCACGGCTCCAGCCATGGTGGGCGGCGGGGGAAGCCCACCCGGCTCTTACATGGTGGTGGAGGCCAGGTTGGTGTCCTCGTGCTTGAGCTTGCCGTCAAGAGCGAGGCCTCGCTTCTCACGGTTGGCCGAGAGCATGGGAGTGACGGAATACGTTTTGGAGAAGGTGGAGTTGGCCGGCACGTTCTCGCTGGAAGGGGTGGGGGAGGAGAGCTCAGAGCCAGCACCAGCCTGGCGGGCGCTCAGCACCCACCGGGGACGCTCAGCATCGTGCCAGGCACCTGGGCAGAGCCAGACCCCCCCAGCCTGCCCTCCCCACGCAGCTGTCTGGGGCCTGTTTCCTCCTTTCGTTCTCTTATACAACCACTTCTTTTTTCTACCCCCCGCCTTTGCTGCAGCCCTCCTCGTTCTCAGGGGCACAGAGGCTGCGGCCGGCCTCAGAGATGCAAAGCGAGGAGAGGAAGCAGCCCGGGGCAGGCAGCTGCGCACCTTCCCCAGGGACCTTCCCAGAAGCTTGCGCTGCGGGGCACGGTGTCCACAGCCTTCCCTCTCCTCTGCTTCCTCTGCATCTGCTCTTCTAACCCTGATATTTTTGCTGCCTGGTGTAAAACCGTCTTCCCCACCCCCTCTCCCCATCACTCTCCCCTCCTCCTCCTCCTTTCTCTTCCTCCCTCTGGCCGTGATGCCATGCCACCCCCAGCCCCTTTTCACTTACTTTATCTCCTCGGTGCACACAGTCTTCGTGTATTTATCCAGCGAATAGAGGACCACATCTGTGATCTGATCAACTGAGGAGAGACAGGAGGGCGCAGCGTTGCTGACGCGGCAGAGGCACGGGCACGCAGTCCCCATCTCCGACGGGGAGGCCGGGATGCGGTGGGTGCCGGGATGTGCCCCTCCTGCCCCCTCTCACCCGAGATCTTAATTTTTTTCACAATCTTGTTGGTAGTGTTGTTGATGTTGACGGTCACATTGATGGGGTCTCCGTGGTAGTAGACCTGCAGCGGGAAGAGGCTCAGTTACGTGACCGGGCATCCCGGTCCCCATCCCTGGGGATGCACGCGGTGGCACGAGCTGGGCGACAGCCCCCGTCCTGACCTCCTTATCCAGGGAGGCTTCCAGGTGCAGGGGCTTGTCGGACATCATGAACTGCCGGGTGGTCTCCGACTTTGGGGGTGGCCCCGACTGCAGGGGTGCAAACTGGATCTTGCGGATGATGAGACGCACCGAGTTCCTGCGGGGCGAGAGGTGGCGGTCACCCCCAGCCCCCCCGGCAGGATTGTGCTGACATGGCCTTCAAGGGGGACTCGTCGGCTGTCTTCAGGGACATCGCAGCGTCTCTAGCCAAAGGATGCAAGCTGCAGCCTGCTCGTAGGACGTGGTGAGTGCTGACATGGCGACCACTGCCCCTCCTTTGGGCAAAGTCCCCCATCCCAGTGTGGCACAGGCTGACGGCAGGGCCTCGGCCCGCCCCCCAAGCTGGCCACCCCAAAACCATCCGGTGGTTTGTTTCTAGGGCCATGGGGCAGGAAAGGGATCCCCTGCAAATACCTCTTGTGAATTTTCTCCTCCAGATTTTCAGCACAAAATCCTTTGACCTCGAAGTCCACGCCGCAGGCCTGGGGGGACACGTATGGTCACTAAACAGGAGGGGCTCAGAGCTGCCTGAGGTTTAGGTTCATTCCCCTCCTTCCTCCACGGCATCCCCGCAGACCCTGGTCCCAGCTCCAGCCACCCTTCCCCTCCAACCCTCACCCTGCGGGCCAAGTCCCCATGAAAGAGAAGCGGCTTTTGGTTTTGGCACCCCACAACTTAACCCCCTGCCAGAGGGAACGGGTCCAGGGGACACAGGCTGGGGACAGCAGCTCACCTTTCCCACATCATCTGGTCCCGGCTGGAGGGTGACCGAGCAGGGCAGGTTGGTGGCAATCTGGGCAGAACAGGAAAAGAGAGAGAAAAGTAAATAAAGAACGTGCCCAGAGAGGAGCCCCGGTGCGCACCACGGAGGCGTGCAGTCGGGAAGAGCTGAGCAGCCCCTACCTCGAAGGTGAAGGGGTAGGCATTCTCCCCAAGCTTCTTTGTCAGCTTCTCCTGCAAGGGAGTGAGGGTTTTGGGTGCCTGGTCTGGCACCGGCGGGAAGATCTGGGTGGTCAGGACATAGAGGTCCTTCCTGAAGGTCAACCCGATAACATCAAGGTCATCTCGGCCGTAGCGGAATGCGCAAGTCAACGTCACGTACACTGCAGCCGGATGGAAACGGAGAGGAGCAGGGTTAGGGGAAGGGTGAGATAAAGGGAGGGCAGGGGGTTGAGGAAAGAGGAAAGAAAGAAAAACTACTTCAGTAATTCTTTAGAAGTATGACTCTTATCAGGACCCAGACCTCAGACACCAAGTTAACATCGCATCGTGCTGCAAGGCACGGGTAGCTTCAGAGCCAGTGCCCCCGGTAGAAAAGACAAGAAGAAAGAGGCAGCTTTCCTCTCGGGTCAGCCACCGTGGCACTGATGTACAGCGAGCTGTAGATGACCCGTTGCAGTTTTAACCTGACTACAGTCCCACGTTGCTTGTGAGCTTTGGACTGGTCTCCATCCCTTCCCCTTATAACATGGGATTTTGTGTCTTAATACCTTTTCTGTCCTTTAGGTACTCGGGGTCGATCAGGCAGACGCCATCTGCAAACAAGCAGAGAAGAAGGGCCAGTGAACTCGGCTGCCCGGGAAGATCCTTGCAAAGATACAGCGCTTTTTAAGGTCAAATAATCCGCTCATCAGCTGGGAAGGTGACTGAGGGGAGCTGCCGGTCAGGGGGACGGCGATGCCTCCTCCAGCATCTCCACCGGCAGCGTGGGCAGGCTGTTTTGCAAAGGGACTTTGTCCCTTTCCCCACCATTTTTCTGTAAGGGTTTTTGCAGGAAAACAGGACATTTGCTCCTCTGGAGCTGCCCTTGCTCCTCCTGCTCCAGCGGGAAGCAGAGGCAAGCAGCCGCCGGCACAGGGACCGGTGTGCCTGGCCGCTCACTGCCCGTGTTTCCCCCTCCACGGCGGGCACGGCCCCACTCACCTACGGAGTCCACCGACTCCACATGATCCACGAAGTCTCTCCTCCCCAGGTAGATGGACAGCTGGAGGCAGCACACGGCGAAAGGAGAGAAGCAAACAGGTCAGTGTTTGCCATGGAACTGGCTGAAATTCTGAAATTTTCAAGCCCCGGGTGGTGTCGGGGGACTCGTTAACCCTGCTGTTAGCGTGCTGGACCAGGCATTGCATTTAAGGATTCATATAGGATTGGTTTTTTTTTTAAATTTCTATTTTGAAAAGCGAACCCTGTGGTGGTATCGTGGCAGGTATAGCAGGAATCAATCAGATTTCAAAGCAAAGGGAAACCCAGCCTGCGCCCCGTTCCATGGGCAGAGCCACCCCGGAGGAGCCCCGCAGCCCCTCCACGCTGGCACAGCCTGCACCTTGGGCTGACCCGCACCCAGGGACGGGTGCACGGTCCCGTCTCTGCGTGCACGGACTCACCTTGCCGTTGGGGCTGGTCTTCTTGAACACCCTGCAGAGGAAACACAGACAGTTGGGTTGGGAACGCCCTGGACCAGGCTGGATGCGACGCAGCCCGCTCCGGGCGCAGGCAGGGAGCAGGTGACTGTTCATCTGCCCGGGGCGAGGAGGGAGAGGGCTTCCCGGCAAGCATTGTGCATCTCCAAGAGCTACACCAGAGCGTGCACGGGATGTCCTGGCCTTGGGGAATGTGGTGTCCTGCAACTTCAGAGCCAAACCTGCCCCGTCTGGCTGCCCTGGGGGGTGTCATGCTCCTAAGCTCAAACTGTGACCATCAGGGAGGGAGTGCATTAGCTGGCTGCGTCTTACGGGCAAGTGAGAAACACCAACATGCAGAAAAAAAGAGAAGGTGCTTTGCTGGCCCCACAACGGCTTGCTCCATCTCGCTACGGCGAGCTCATGTACCCGCAGCGGGTGAGGGGAGCGGGGGGCTCACTTTCTCCTTCTGCTCCTGCCCCGCAGCGCCCTGCTCCATCCCAATTTAAAAAAAAAAAAAGAAAAAAAGACACTTACTTTGCTCCTTCTGCCATTTCAAGTCAGCGGCCGCGCAGGCGGGGATCTGCGGGGAGAGAAGGAGGGGAAATGCTGG